TCACAAAAGCTATGTTTGGCAAGGATTCCATCTTATGGAGTTGTCCTTAAGTCAAATCTGATATTGTGTGGCTATTCTCAGAAACTGTGCCACCATTGCCCTGGCACATCTAGCAAGCAGGACACCTCTCTAAACTGAAGGTTTTGTGACTGGGTTGGTGCTATTTCCTTTGGTAACAGTACAGGGTATCTTCAGATTCCAAAACCACTAGCCTCTCATGGTGAAGGCTCTAGGTAGGTACTACCTCTACTTCTCCGTGTTCAATATATTGTGTAGGTTTTGCCACAAACTGTTCGGTCTACAATGAGTCTTACCTGCAAGATATGCTAGGACACCAGTGACACAAAGCTTATGGGAGTAATCAATCAATATCGGATTTGATTTAATGCTAACTCCATAAGATGACACCCATGTCCAACAATAGAGCCTTGAGATCAGTTTGTGGAGAATAAGTTATAACCTTGGTATCAGTGTTTTGCAAGGCTCCAACTATTCCCAGCTAACCCAGTAACAAACATCTGATTTAAGCAATAAACATAAATGATTGCTTTCAACTTTTATCATAGAGTTTAGGAAGCTGCTATCAACATCTGTATTTGTGACTTTCCGCAAATGACGTGCATCCATTACTTTCACCCCAGGGCATAGAAAGGTATATAATTTTAGATTATAACTAAGCATTACCTTACATTGTAAAAGATGATTGCATGGAAATCAAAACCAAGTGAAGCTGGTTGTTACTTTTTCTCTGAAAGACAGGTTAAAGAGTTTGTGGACACAGTAGGATAGCTGTCTTAGGTCTTAAGTGATCAAGGTGTATTATTAACTTTGGATACGAGGTCCAGAAAATTTCCAGTCTCTTAGAATGTAAGAGATATTTTGAGAATATTGCACCATCACATTATATAATGGTATAATAGATATTTAGATATTATATTAGATTTTCAAGAGCACTGGAAATATTAATTAGCATATTGCAGAGTTGAGATGTTAGTGGCTTCTGGGTATATTTTGGCTTCAGCATTTCCTTTCTTTCTTTCTTTCTTTCTTTTTCTTTTTTTTTTTTTTTTTGGTTTTTTCGAGACAAGATTTCTCTGTAGCTTTGGTGCCTGTCCTGGAACTAGCTCTTATAGACTAGGCTGGCCTCAAACCCACAGAGATCCGCCTGCCTCTGCCACCCGAATGCTGTGAAGGCATGTGCCACCACCACCTGGTCAGCATTTCCTTTCTTAAAAAGCATACAATGACTACAAGTACCTAATTGATTCTGATTCTGATATATTTCCAGCATGACTTTAGGGATGCAGATAGCTAAAGGATGCTATTATTTTTTTCTCTAACAGCATTATAGAATTAATCTTATATTAAGAACTCTGTTTCATAAGTAAATTTCTTTAAAACTGTCTTTTTTTATATTCACTTATCTTGAAGTGGAGTGTTTGTCCTTTTCCTAGTAGCTGTGAGTGAAAATGTGTGCATACTTAATGACCTGTGACTGTACATAGCCACTATGTAGATATTTGATGGGCAAAGGGATTTGAAGTAAAGTTAAAATGGGTAGTTAGGGGAATGCTGAAGGAGAAGCTGTCATGGAACTTTGCAACCCTTCCTAGCAACAGAAAACAGTGCTCGTGAATGAAGACACATTTAGTTAAAAAGAGACTTTTTTTTCTTTTCATATTCTACTTGGTCAAAAGAGGCTCTTTATTTTTCAAGTGTAGTATATGATAACTTACTTTGGCATTGTCTCCATGAGAGCAAAGATTCAGTGGCAATATCAAGCTGGTAGGTTATTGCTCTTCTGTGAATAGCGTACCCTGACCAATCTATTTCAAAGGACAATACTCCAGGCATAACATGTGATGTAAATGCAATGTGGCAATTTGATTTTCAAGTGGCACTTCATAGGAAGCGTGGATAAGCAAGAGCAGCATGCCACAGTCAGCTCTTGTAAATGTATTCTATCAAACCTACTTAAGTATCACAGACTAAAATAACAGACCTAACTCTTTGAGAAACTGACTGTATCCCAAAGATTAAAACGCCTTCTCCAGGCTGGCAGATTCAGAGGGAAGAAGCACTTGCCACTGAGCCTGGAGGTCAGACTTTCATCGCTAAGACCCACATGGTGGGAGAAGAGAATCGATTCCCCCACGTTGCTCTCTGATCGCCACATGTACACCAGGGCAAATGTGTACACACATGTGCAGAGACACATAAAGAAAAGAAATAAGTACAATGAAGAACAAAAGATCTTCTCTATACTATTTACCCTTTATCCTCAAATCACTGGCCTTTTCGGAGCACGATCCCTACCCTTACACCACACTGAGGAGAAAGATTATTTCGTGGTTTCGAGTTACGATTTAGAGACTCATGGCAGGCCTCTGTTCTAGTCTCCTTTCTGTTGCCATGGCAGAAACCATGACCAGAAGCAGCTTATCAAAGATTGGGTTTATTTCAGCTGACAAGGTACATACATCCCTTTGATGGAAGTCAGAGCAGGAATGCAAAGTAGATACTAGGGAGGAGTGCTGTTCTCTGGTTTAGCTCCTTCTTTGGCTCGTGCTTTGTAAACTCTTTAATATACTAAAACCACCTGCCTGGGGGATGTTGCCGCCCACAGCGGGCATAGCTCTCCTACATCAGTTAATAATGAAAACAACCCTCTCAGATGTGCTCACAAAGCAGCCTGACCTGGGCAGCTGCTCAAATTAGACTTTTCCCCCAGACAAGTTTAGGTCGTGTTGAGTTGAGAATGAAGGCCAATCAGGACAGCAGCTCAGTACCTTCCTGCTGCTATGACAAAACACATCTAGAGTAATTTATGGAAAAGGGAAAGACACACGCTGGTTACAGCTCTGCACTCTGTGAACTCTGAGATTGAGTTAGCAGTAGATTTAGTATCTGGTAGATAGATACCTTTCCTCAGCTTCAAGGCAGTGCAGTGTTTCTCTTAAAAGTGGAGGAAAGCAAGGGAGCTCCCTTCAGCCTCTTTTAAATGGCAGTGATCAAAAGGGGATCATTAAGACGTAATGGATCACTTCCCAGAAGTCCCTGCTTCTGTATTCTTCTAGGTTCTGATTGTGCCTTGAGAGTTTGTCAACAATCACATCTTCATTTTCTACATAAGCAGGTTTATCCCACTCTTCTAAATTATCTGTACTGGAAATGGGTATTTCATGGCATATCCAAGACCGTAAGGATAAACAGAATCCAAGAGGTCACACAGAGACCTTCAGTAACCCCCTCAGACACCACATTGACAATGGTCAGCTAAACTGGGAGGAATTTAGGGAAAAGCAACCACAACACTAGTGAGCATGGTTTACTTTCCCATTCTCCTCCTCACCACTTAGCACCCTCCCCCAAAACCTTAAAGATTATTGCATACACATCAATGGTAGTAGTTACTCTAGGACAAAAGGCTCAGAACAAATTCTGATTCACTTTCAAAATCAGAATAATTTACAACAGTCATACTATTTGCATTTGACTTTCCACAGGGGAATGATGGAATCTCCAACCACTGTGACCCAGATCTGGGCTATTGCAGTTCCCTCCACTGTGCAGACCATCAATTTTTATTCTCTGTTCTTTTTAACTGTGACTTGCAAATGTCAGGATCTGAGTTCAAGCCCCAAAACTCATGTACAAAGTAGTCATGAATGCTTGTAACCCCCAAGCTGGGAAAAAAAGAAAGGGAGAATCCCTGGTGCTCACTGACTAGTAACTCTAGCCTAATTGGTAAACTCTAGGCCAAAGAGGAATCCAATCTGAAATAGGGAGGATAGAATTTCCAAGAATCATACCTGAGATTGTTTTCTAGCCCCCATATATACACGTGTGTGTGTGTGCATGTATGTTTATACATACATACACTCCTTTTGGAACTGTGTATTAAATTCATTTCAAACCTCTAACTTCCTTTTATTTATCCTTAGTTGGATTATACAATCTCTTACTTGTCTTTATTATCAACTCCTTTAGTTCAGAACACTCATTTTTAAAATTTGTGTGTGTGTGTGTGTGTGTGTGTGTGTGTGTATGAGAGAGAGAGAGAAAGAGAGAGAGAGAGAGAGAGAGAGAGAGAGAGAGAGGAAGGGAGTTACACTCTTGAAATTAGTGAGAACTGCAATATTTGTGTGTGTGTTTGAATGCTTATGTGTTCAAAATAGCTTTATAAACTTATTAATAAAAATCAGCAAAACACTTTTGAGGAAAATACATTTTGTTTTTCAAAATGAAAACACATGTAGTAAGCAGATTAAATTGCTGAAAACTTCTGTTTATCTCTTTAAAGTTAGCTAGGAGCACTGGATTCCTATTTATGCTTTTGAATTCTGTGCTGAAATGGCTTCTTGCCTCGGAAGTCCCTAAATAAAAATGATCTCCTACAGAAATAGAATATTCTACTAGCAACTCTTCAGACAATCCAGAATTTTTAATCTGATATCACAATGAAACATTGACAAGTGGCCATTTCTTAAAGATTATATACCATGTAGAAACCAAATGTCCATCAATGATCTCTTTAACAGCATTCTTCTAAAATTCATTAGTCTTAACTGTCCTCTATTGTGTCTATTTTACGCATGTAGAATATTCTATTACCACACATTAAGTGTTTAGTTAGCCGTGATAATATGCAGATCTTAGTAACAGTGATTGCAGGCTGGGGTGAAGACTCAGATGACAAAGTGTTTCCTGACAAGCAGGAAAATCTGGATTTGGATCCCCCATACACATTTAAAGTCATGTGTCTCACTCATCTGTAGCACCAGAACTGAAAGAGGAAGAGGTAACGGGATTCCTTGAGTCTTGACCAGTAAGTCCCATCACAGTGAGATATTCGATACCCCCAAAATAAAGGAAAACAATGGAGGAAGACACTCAAGGTCAACTTGTACATGTGCACACACCAACAGGAACCTTTACATTGTGCTCACGTTCATGTATGCACAGACATACAAAGAAACACACACAAAGAAAATGTGTGGTACATTATAAAAATCATATTTATTATTACAATCATCAGTTTTTTAAGAAAAGTCTTTGAGTAACAGGAAACTAGTAAATTTCACAGTTTTGGAGGCTATGTTTTCAAAAGATTTAATTATCACATGAAAATTCAAATTATACCATTTAGAATACAACTGACGCTTTCCTTGAAGTATTAGGTTTACTTCACTCATTTTCAATAAAAAGTCTGCCAAACACACAAATCTATGTAACTGCAGTTGTTACTGTTTTAAATTAAATTGTTGTATTGTGAAAACACAGGCTAATTTTAGCTTGCAACCACCACAAATGTTTTTCCTCAAGACATTATAGTTCAATACACAGCAGATGTACTTTGTGTATAATTCCCATTTTGTCATGGAATATTAAAAAGATATATAGTCAAGAGTTGATATTTAACAAAATTAATAGTGTTTTCTCTTTCCTCACTGACTTTCTTTTAGAGAAACCTGCTTCTTTTTTGTTTTAACTGAAGTATATTTGTTATTATAGAAAGTACATGGTAGACAGCTCCATTTCATGCCACTGTCTTGATTTGTGTTAATGCACTGCAATTTAACTGTTGCTGTTTTTATACCATTATTACCAATATCAACACAGGGAAGAAGCCAACGAACCTTATTTTCATCATGGACTGAATTTTGAATTCATGGAAAATGTGACACTCTTTCTGGACCCCCACATCTACCCCAGGGCCTAGTATTTCATACTTAAAGTGCCTGACTGCCACTGAGGATTCTTAACCTTGTATTAAAATTAAAATAGTGTCAAGAACATTCGATACCCATGCTTAAGTCTGAATCAATTAAATCAGACCCACTAAAAGTAGGGGACAGATATTATTAATTTTATTGATGGCGGTGATCATTTATGGCAATGTTCTTTTTTTTTTGTATATGTTGGACTGGACTCTGACTTCGGTTCTCCATTGTTAGCGTGCTGAGAGCTGGGATTACAGATGTGGGCCATCAATGACTACTTAGGCATCAATATTTTGCACAAAGCTTCCCAGATGTTTCTGGCATTATTATCAAAGTTGACAGGGGCTGGTCCAGCTTTTATATATTTGAATCTGTTGACAGACTTGTGTCCTCTACCTCCTTGTTTTATCCCAACTTTTCCGAGGTTTTTGGATATGTGAAGAGTTCTTAGCCATGACTCTTTTTCAACTATTTGAATCATTTCTTCCTTTCAGTGAAAAGGGGATAAAAGTAAAAGGTCAATAAACTGTCAGCTAGATTGTGCAATTAACTGAGGAGCTCAGAAATGGAATTTCATTGTTATCTACTGAAAGACCAATATAAACATACAAATATATTCATAGGTTTCTAAATGTGTTTTTATATTTCTATGTTGTTAGAAAAACAATCAAAGTTAGGCATGGTGGCACATGACTTTGTTGCTTGTGTTCCCAGCATTTGGGATGCAAGGCAGGAAAACCAGCAGATCAAAGTCATTTTGGCTATGTAATAACTTCAAGGCCAGTCTGGGCAGTCTAAGACTGCTTCAAACTGCCCCCAAAGGAAAGAAAAAAATAAAATAAGGAAAGGAAAAAGAAAGAAGAACAATCAAAAGATTATAAATATTGATTCACATTGTTTTCTCTTATTTACTGAAAATGGATACATTTTAAAATATTTCCTAAACTAATCAGTACTTTTCCTTTAAGCCATTTGGGTTTATTGGGGATTTATTATATTTGGTTTTTAAAAATTATTATTGATTTCTACACAAACCTGCTATACAGGAAGAATACACCCTAAATTTATTTGCTAATGAGCATAGATAAATGATTAAAGATTGCAATTTATTAAATTTTATCTTAATACAATGCATTCTGCTAAGCTCTGGATTTACCAAGAGGAAAACCCTGGCATCCCACAAAGCTTAACTTCTTGATACATGCTACACCACTGCTGTCTGTAAATAAGAAGCTGCCATAAAAACTAGGTCATAAACAAAGGTTCACACTATTATAAAAGTAAAGATTCTGTTTATGACTTCTTTTCTGGTGGAAATCTTTAAAAATTTTAAAGGCTAGCCTATTTTTTATAGTAACATTTTCACATGGGGGTACTCTTTTTCCCCTAAAATGAAATAAAGCTAAGAATATCGGGTGACTAATAGCACTAGGCAGTTTGAAGAACCAAACCAAACAAAACAAAACCCCAAATTTTTTAAAAAAGTCTTGTCTCTTGTTATGGGCCACAATGCACTTGCCCCTAGTTTATTTGATAAAACGAGTCTCAATGATAAAATTATCGAGAAAATCACATTTGAACTATAGAACCTAAGACAGGGGTCGGGGTATTACTCTCCTTTCATATCCATTGTCTTTCCAAGCTACTGTCAAGCTGTCTGATAGAACACCAAAGAGTGGCTGCTGCTTCAGGTCTGAAAGGGAAGATAATTCCTCCAGGTGAGAAGAAGAGGAGAATGATTTTCTAAGAGTATATCAAGAGATTGATGATACGCGAAGAAATTTCAGGCAGGCAAAGGAAATGCCTGGAAATAAATGTCTCAAGCTTCACTGGCCTCCCATCCATACCTGTCTTTCAAGTTGCCACAGGGAACAGCTTTGTAGCCTTATTGACCATGAAGCATTGAATTTTTCCCTTAAACAGAGCTGAATTAATTCTCTAGATGCTTTTGGACACAGAATGAAGGGTCAGGCCTGATAGCTGTTGGTAATATCTGAATTTGTTTTTAAAATATAAATTGTGTTCTTCTTCTTCTTGTTGCTATTGTTAATTCAAATGCATTGTTTTGGTAATATCTTAATTAGTTTTTAAAATATCACTGTGTTCTTCTTCTTGTTGTCATTGGTAATTCAAACACATTGTTTCAGTTATCAGTATGTGATACTTTTAAGACCTGGGGAAGTAAGACCTCCTCAGTACTCACTCCTGTTCTTAGTCCTGTCCTCTACTCTTCCCACCAGTGAATGATCATGTGGGCTCTTATATATATATTTATAGACTGAACTATCTAGAAGATTAACTTGCAAATAGAAAGTCTATAGTCAAAGCAGGCTCAGAGCTCGGGTGAACATTGTCTCAGGCTATCGTCATCTGTTCTTCTGACCCATGCACAGACTCCATAACTCATTTACACTTCACTTAAACAGCCTTGCCTACAGCATTGCCCTTCCTATAAAAAGAATAGTTGAGCTATAATGATTCTGACCCTTCCTTGGATTTTCACATTGTATAACTCCATGTGCTTTAACATTAATGAATGTGTGTGTCTTCCTCCTCCTTCTTCCTTTTCTTTTCTTCTTCTTAATTTGTCCACTGTCAGTTTGCATCAGATTCAAATCATCCATCACCCAGGACTCTTAAGAAATATTCCTTTGGGAATAATATTTCTGTTTCTTCCCATCCTCTCCCCTTCCCCTGCTTCTGCTTTCCTGTATTTCTTAATTATTTCAAAATTATAGGGAAGGTTCATATATTTGTAACATTTTTTTCAAGTACCATATTCCAACACTATTGTACACATATGCATCTTTCTCATTTTCAATTCCTACTCTGAGATATCACTTCTCCCATTTTACAGACACCAACTTTAGGTTTAGAAAGAATAAATGATTGGCCAAACTAGTAAGTAGTCAAATCATAGATAGATTTAAGAGATATCTTTCTTCGTGGAATGAAATACTTAATTTTTCTGTAATTGATTGTCTCTAATCCTATCTCCGAGTCTACTTTCGCAAAAGAATAAATAAATGTATTCAGTCAATTAATCTCAAAAGAATTAGAGTATGTCTCCAATACTAGAGACTACAAGCACATCCAAGTCCAGCTTGCTCCAATTTATAGTTTTACACTTGATATTTCACTGAGTGGGATTTTCTAGTTTTATCTCCGCCCCATTGCGGGATTCTCTAGTTTTTGTATCCACCCTATTTAACTATAGCTTCTCTCAGACCTTTAAAATTTTCCCGTGAAACATCCCTTTGAAGTTCACGGCGTGTTCCTCACTCATTCCCATGTCTTCTGTCATGGCTCTGTCATCGCTCTTCTTAGCTTGTACTTCTTCAGAGTTCTGTTTCAGAGAGTGTCAAGTCACACTCTCAGCACTCCTTTTCTGACTCATCTCCTGGTCCTCCTCTGAAACCCTTCCCTTCTGACACACCGTGGGGAAACTACAGGCAATGCAGATTCTGCAATTGTCACAGATCAGAAAGCTCGGCTTGGGTGAAAGGATGATTTGAACGCTGAAGACAAAACTGGAAGTATCAGAGCTTCTGTAATACGTGGGTGAAAGGCAGTGAAAACTGCCAGTCAGAAAAGTAGGCTATGAAGAACAGAATGTAGATAAATGAGGCCTAGCACCCAGTTTTTGCCCTTGCTCGCTCTGAAGGTTTTAGAGGTTTTTAAACTTCCCCCCATGGTGAAAATTGTTTTGAAGTGAACTGTATCTCTCCCATAGTGCCCTGGCACACTTATACCAGGCAGGTATATCATATAGCTCAGATTTGTGTTATTACAGATCTAAACATTTGTAAGTCCTCCACTCCTTCCATTATATATAGCTTTGTTCCACAACTCCTTTTGTTATTGATGTGGACTCACTAGCTGGAAGGTAGGGTATATTAAAACAGCTTTCTCCTTCCCCATCTGGGGCCTTTATTTATCTTCCACCCCAATCCTAGAGTGAATATTTCATGTGCTTCTGTGGTATTCTTTCAGTCACCAATTCTAAACGAGCAAGCCATTTCATTCTGAGATGCACATAAAAAATGCTATAATCAGAAGTTGGTCATATGTTTTCCGAGTTTGAGATCATAGACCATAACATATATAAAACTTGCCTTCATGACAGTGGACTATTGTCACTATCGGCACCGTGAAAGTGCCTTCCATAAACACTCATGGTTGTTGAAAATGAGGCTGAGAGAGTGGAGAAGTGGTAGTTGACAATGTTTAGGAGACAAAATTACACCAAACGTCTACCCACAAAGAGCTGCCTGCAGACACGGGGTGAAGCACAGCGAGCAGGAATGTTTTCAGTTTGTTTCCCCTTCGATCTCAGCCCACTCTTGTGATCTGTTTGGATAACTCGCTCTACAGGGTCTGAAATGGTTTCAAAGATATATTGAAATACATTACCTATCTGAACTAAACATCTTTTCACTTTATCTAAATATAAACAAATATAAATAATCATAGGAAGAATTATGAAAAATTATAATATCAGTTCTTCTAGTGAAACTTCAGTAAAACATAGAAAATTATTAAGTACAAATTACCAGAAATACTATAGGGATTTATAAAAAGAAGGCATTGGAATGTGCTAGAAGCATTCAAATAATTTTCAGACAATAGTTTTAGCGAGACATAAAGGTAGTGTACAGTCTGCACTGGCAATATCATTGCTTTAGTAAAAATGACAGAGAAGCAACTATACAGAGAAGGGATTATACGGGCTTATATGCAGTCAGTCTTCTGAGTGGGGTGAGATTATAACATAAGGGAAGCAAGACGCTCCATAGTACAATGATAGGCTAGTGGATAATGGATTATGAATACAAAACCAAGGAGATGGAGTTAGGTGCAGTCATTGGTTGAAAAATCCACAAAAGAGAGAAATACTTCAGGGACCTTTGTTACAAGAAAACTGTAGAGAAGCAGAAACCTGGAACAAGACAGTCTAAAAGAAAGCCTGTAGACCAGAAATGAACATGCATCTGTGTCTAGTTGGATAGTATTTGTAGCCTTCCCATTGTCCACTACTAGTCCATCTGTCTGTACACGAATGTAGTACTTTTCTCACTGCAGGAACAGAACACTCAGTAAAAGCAGTTTAAGGGGGGAATGGTTTATTTTGGCCCATAATTCAAAGATACAGTCCATCATACTAGGGATGACATGGTCACAGATGGCCACAGACATGGTCACAAGGCAGCAGGCTATATAGGTTCCATCCCTACAAAGCAGAAAGAGATGAAAGCTTGTATTCAACTAGCATCCTATTGTTTACAGCCTGTTTATCTAGCACTTGTAGTGCTGCTTCCAACAGGGTGCATCTTTCTACCAACCTTTAAAATTAACCCAACCATGAAAATCCCTCACAGACACTCCCTTGAGTCTGTTTGTCTAGACCTTTTGGAAATGACAGTCAGTATTAATGGCACAGTACCCTCTCTAGCTTTCTTTTTGGCTTCTCAGTGTTTATGTCTGACACCACGCTTCTTCTTCTAAGAACTTTTTCTTCATAATAAGGGGAACTATTAATCTGCTTAGGATCTTCATCTGAGTAAGTGAATTTAGATCTAATAATGCTTCTGAGATCATTTGTAACTCAAATCAGTAGATAGGAAGCAAGAGAGTTTTAAAGGTTCTATTTGGGGGGGGGGTTCATACTTGAGTCTTGGAAGAGCTGAGACATGAAATACATCCTAGTGTTGTGTCCAAGATGAGACCCTCAGAGAAACCACCGGAATCCAGTCAAGTCCAGAATGCAAAAGCAAGGTTTATTTGTTTTGCCAGCTAGCTGGGAGTTCCCCATTACATGCATCGCAGCACAGTAGGGAGAGCTCCCATTCCTCATTGGAGTTTCCATTATATAGACAAAAACCACAAGCCAGGTTTACTTAGAGTCAAGGGGGGTGGTTTTGCTGACTACAGGGTATGGATTACTTCCACTTCAGTGCATGCCCCCGCCCTCCCCACAGGGAGTTATTTCTCCTCTTGTTTAGACCGCAAAGCTGGGTGTTGACAGGGGGCTAGCTGCTAGCAACAGTTGGTCTGCATTTTTGCAAACGTTCCTGTTTTCAGCCAACTCTTGATGCTGCAAAATTTCTTGAACCCAGTGTCTTAACCAGCTCCTGATCAAATAAAGTTTCTTAAAATTGTCCATGTCCTTTCATAGCTGCATAACTTTGTGATGATAAAGAGTAGCGGCTGCCAGGTGTCTGTCGCCACAATGCCCTGAAGGATAGGTTGCCCAGGGACTGAGAGAAAAAGTATTTACAGATGGAGCCTTCAGTCTTCTCAAAAGCTATGAGGGGCACAGAAGGAACAGAGTTGAGCACCAGGAAATAAAGGAGATCTGGAACCCAATACATTTGAGACATATAGGTAGACTGGTGACAATAGTGACTGTCCTTACACGTTCAGCTTTGGGAGGGCCTCTTCAAGCACAAGGGACTTTGAGGACTCTGGAATATTAGACCCCCAATGGACTAAGATTAAATGTCTCACTAAACAGTTAGAATGGGTCTTTGAGTATAACACAGTTTATTTTTAAGTAACTAGGGCTCCTTAGCACATCCGAGTGTGTGGACTCTGACAACAAAAATCTAATTTAGAGCAACACAAAATATCTTTTCCCATCACCTGTTTGTAAATGATTACATAGAGAACTACCACAACACAGAGTAAAACTGACAAGGAGTCCCGTAAGGAGAAGCATAAGTTAGTATAACATCATTGCCCCTATGGCAAACATATCTTCCTTCTTTTATCAAAGCTACACTTTGAGAAAATTCAGGTTTATTTTAAACCTGAAAACACAATATGTTGACATTATGAAAACAAGAAAACCTCTCCCCAGGGCTCCAACTGTCACAGCTATCTCTGTTTATTTGTTATCTTCCACTTGTGCACCTCACAGATATTTACATCTACATTTGGGGACCAACCTAGTTCTTTCTCGAAACTTTCCTGTGGCAAAACGCACAAAGATAAAGAGAACTAAGGAAAGACATTTATTAAGCAGATTCAAGGAAAGAGAAGCAAAGTATAGCGTGCTCTGGCCATGATAGGCTACAACGTAAGGAACACTGAGGCAGGGAGAGCACACTGCAGCCGGTTCCTGTGCTCCTCAAACCCTGTTCTGATGCATTCCCTTTCCAGTTTGACTGGCACATACATTTTTTTGTTGTTGTTGTTGTTTGTTTGTTTAAGATCACCTTTGATTCTCCAAATCATCCGGATTTTTAAAGAGATCAAGCCTACTTTTGTCAAACCACTGGACTTAGTGCTACTTTGTGTTGTTTTATTGCCCTTTCCTCGGTTCAAAACATGATGGGAAGATCATTGCCTGAACAAGGCCCAGGTCCCCTTTGTCTGTTTTGTGGGCAAGTCACGCTGTCTTTACAAATTTCATTGTGTTATCAGGAAATATGAGTAACAAATACTGAGTGTGTACACCTTACAGAGTTGTTGTAGGAATCAAAAGAAGCAAACTTGTGAAACACTCCAAAAATTTAACACAAAATACAAATGCAAACTGTCATATAGAGCCAAATTGCATACCTTCAATGTAAACACAGTGTTCCCCATCTATTGTGTCTAAGTATCCCGGATGCATTTCAGAGATAATAGAGGAACTAGAGAGATTATTCACTGTCTAAGGACATCTGTTGCCTTTCAGAGGACTCAAGTTTTGTTCCCAGCACTCATGTCAGAGAGTTCATAATAGCCTGTAACTCCAGCTCCAGGGAATCCAATGACAAGGTCTCTGTGGCACCTGCACTCATGTACATATAATCACATAGAGACAGAAGACAGACAGACACACAGACACATAAATGCAATATGCACAATCAAAAAAAAATAAATAGAAAAGGTTGATACATGAAATGACATGCTGTATACACATGCTATTCTGATTGCAGAACGTAGAAGACGAGGAATTCCTTCACTCTATAGTGCCGATTAGTAGAGGAAACATTTTAAGTTCAGTTAAATTATTATTTCTCTACTTCAGTTTGAGAAAGAGCTACTGACATGCCAGAAAGACGAGCTCGGTAGAGTTCACAGAAGTTGATTCCATTACTTTTGTGACTTACAGGGGAACAGGTTCCCTTCACGGAAAAGTGCTGGGCTCACTTTCCTCAGCAAACACAGCGATCATCTTTTCACTTCTCTTTCTTTTATTTTTTTTTCTTCAACACAAGGTTTCTCTGTAGCTTTGGTGCCTGCCTGGAACTAGCTCTTGTAGACCAGGTTGGCCTCAAAATCACAATGATCTGCCTGTCTCTGCCTCTGGAGTGCTGTGATTAAAGGCGAGTGCCACCACTGCCCGGCTCACTTCTGTTTCAAATTGCCTCTTTTACTCTGTTGTTCTGTGTGAACACGGCTGATCTTAAGATACCATTTCCTTAACCAAAATTATTTCATTTTGAACAGAGAAGAATATTAATTGCACCTCTTAGCTTCACATTATGTGATAGGATCACATAACATTTATGAATTAGTGTTCTTTTAAGTTCCGTTAGAAAAAGTCAACTTAGGTTCAATATCAATAAATAATATATTGGGTTGGCATGAAATCAGAGAGGACAAGTGTCCTTAATGTTCAGTGTGCTTAAAAACAAAATGGCACACTTACTTGACAATCTCAACATGGCAATGAGGTTGGGAATGATTTACCTGAGTACAATGGAAAAACCAAACGTGTAGTTCCACAAACTCGACTCTAAAAGAGCATGCCCTCCTGAGATAGTCTCTTTGAGGTGAATTAGACCTTATTAAAATAAATATATAGATAAAAGTTCTGATTCTCTGATGCCCTGTGATGCCATAGTTGGGAAACCATTTGTAGGAAGGACTCCAGAGTGGAGCCTAGCTGAGTTCTGAGACACCAGAACATTTTCCCTGTTACCATGAGTGATGCTGTCATGCATGCATCCAGCCCAGCTGACCCCCAGACAAGTGCCTGCCCTCTCAACAACTGGACCAATGACATGAGAGACCCCAGGGAGAATCACCTAGCTGTAACCTCCTAATACTCTCAATACGGAAAGTCTTGAATCAAAGCTTTTAAATTTAGGGTCCATTTTTATAACATATTTCTAATAAGAACAGTGGTCCAGGATTTATTTAGATAAATATTAAGGAGTTGGTAACGCTAACATGATTTCCAAGCCGACAAAATTCTCATGATTTTATTCTTCATAAACGTTTTGCTAACTAAAACGCCATTCTAACATCTTGGTTCCTCTGCCTCAGTATAAATATTTATTACTGGAAGTTGCTAATAAAGTTCACATGATAAGAATACACATCAAAAGTTCTTTTCAAATCAGGTGGAACATTATCATTATTCTAGATGTAAATTAGAAAAT